TTTTTCTGTTGGTCTCATTCTCTCTGTCAGTCTCTCCGCCTCTTTCTCTGACCGCCTATCCCTCTCTCTTTGTTTGTTTCTTCTTCTGTTTGTCTTTCTATCATATCACATTTCTCTACACATACACAAGTTTATTTCCAGCATAAGCTTTATAATTTCATTTAAAAAATCATATTCTATAACAATTATATGGCATGATATTCCTCCATAACTTTTTACAAGGTTTCAAATGAAGCATTCATTGATTTACAAATATATACATCACAGCATGATTTGTATGTATCAAACCTTTTTCTAAATAATGTGATAAAGTTACAAGCTGAACTATTGACAAACATCATGAAGTACAAACTCTAATGATGGACAAACATCAAAACTATGTGTTCAGAACAATCAAGAGTAACATGATGAAAAAACAACAAACATCATTTTCAGGTTAAAATAATTTTTCTTAATTTGTTTTTATATAATTTTATCACAATAATCTCTCATTCATATAACATTAATCATCATCATCATCATTTACTGTTACAGATTTTTAAACTTGAGTACAATCATTATCATTATTAATAACATAAAATGAATTCATTATATTCAACATGTGAACAAAATGTGCTCAAAGAAAAGTAATATATTAATTATTATTAATAATGATTTTGATTACGTTTTATTATTATTATTATTATTATTATTATCAAGATTGACCATTTTAAAATTATAAGTTAAATTATTAAATAAGAATGTATGTACATGAAGGGGTTAAATGAGTGAAAACAATTAAAAACAGTCAACAACATGTCAAACCACAATTAAGAATGTCATAATATGAAATTTCAAAATTACAAATCTTTATCACTTTCATTATTATTAATTATTAATATTAATTAATTGATATTAAACTAATGATAATTAAAAAAAAAAACGGAATTTCTACTGATATTGAGTTCACAATGTGAAAAAATTATTTCCTAAGATTCTAAACCGTTACTACTATATTCAGCCATTTGCAAAATTTTTGATTAAAATTATAAAAAGAATTACTCACCTGTTGAATTAAAACGTATCGGAGTATCATTTAAAAAAAAAAAAAAAATTTTTCACCATCTCACTATTTATCACATGTCAAATTAACTAACGTTTGCTTTTTTTTTTTTTTTATCTTTTTCAGTTTAATCATAAATAATAAACCGAAACAATATTTATAAATAAAAATAATCGTGTCACTAGAAACTATTTAATATTTCAAACGATTTGATATATATATATATAAATATAAATAATTACTTAAAATAAAACCACAACTGAATATCAATTTGAATAAATATTTGCGATGCGCAGACATTTTGTACGGCACACCTGTTATTACGTCATCCGTCATCACATTCGAATCGTTCGAATAATTTTTTCAAAATTCAAATTTTACGCGCCAAAAAAAATTATAGTCTATTGTTTTCATTCGTTTGATGTAAAAAATTTTTTTGTTAGAATTTTGAAATGAATCGGTAAATTGATTTTATATATAATTAATAATTAATGACGTGGAAGTAAATAAATAAAACTTTTTTAATTAATTAATATTTTTTTTTTCAATATTTTAAAACATACGACACTTTTTTGAATTTAAAAAAAGAATAATAATAATAATTATAAAAATATATGTGTGTGTGTGTGTGATTATAATCTAATGCCACGATTCGTTAAAAAAAAAATAATAATAAATGGGTTCGAAAACATTAATAATTTGATTCTTTATTCAAAAACGTATTTAAATTTAAAAAAAAAAAAAAAAAATTATTTCCGCCATTTTGAATGACACGTCAGCCATTTTGAAAAACTTTTTTTTTTTTTTTTTTTAAATTTGTTTCAACACGCAAATTTCATTTCCTGTATTTTTTTTTTTCGTTAAAAAAACAAACCGGAGAGAAATACACATTATTATTATCATTATTTTTTTAAAAAAATATTTCGTGGCAGAAGAAAAATTAATTTAATTTTTTTTTTTTCGGTTTTGTTTTGTTTATATTAAAAACAAAAACAACGAAACATTTAAAATTTTTTTTTTTTTTTATTGAAAAATAATAATAATAATAATAATAATAATAATTTTTTTTTAATACTCCTTTCTTTTTTGTTTTTTATTTACTCTAAGAATTGGAAAAATATTTGTTTTAAATAATAATAATAATGATAATAATGATGATGATAACTGAAGAAGAAGGAGCAGAAGCAA